TCGACTTTTCATTTCGACTTTGACCTCCAAAGTCAAAACATTTCGACTTTTGGGTTTTCATTTCGACTTCATGTATATGGACTTTCACGATATTTGGGTATTGTAAATAAATACAATATTACACGTAATGATTTGGATAGTTTGTCAGAAACAAATAATACAAAATTCAAAAATATCCTAGTGTATTTAATTCACTGCAAGCTTCCAAATAGATTTAAAAAAGGGGGACATTAATTAGTATCATTTGCCTGTACTAAACATCAATTTTTTGATGTTTTTAAAGGACATATTCATTATCGTAGTAACAAAAATATCCATAAATGTATTTTTTGAGGTGCATCTGGGTATCAAGCATTAAGTGAAATCTTGAACAATCCATTATGGGGTCGAAAATTTTATAATGAAGAGCAACAAACCTATGTTATTTTATTTGATGATCTGCCTCAACATTTAAAAAAGAATCCATTAGCTATTGCAACTTGTGTTGCTGAAAATTTTAATAAAAGACATAGATCTAAATATAATCCTAGGAAAGTAATAGTTGAGTGGAAAATTAAAGTTGAAAAAGATGCAAAAGAAAATTATTGTGAAGTGGGTTTTATATATATGTATTTTTGGGTTAAACAAATTTAAATTTTATTATTAGAATTTAATGGAAAGATTTTTTTATTTGTAAAAAAATTTGATGTATTTACAATTATAAAAAGTATACGTAAAAATATACATTAAAAGAAATTATAAAATGTGAATATGTTGAGGTTTTGAATATAAAAGAGGGATATTATTTTGAGCATAAAAAAAAGTCAGTTTTCATGTTCTAAAATTTCACGAATAGCTGAATTTTTATTTTGAAAACATTCACCATTTTTAAGAGTTTTCCTAAAAAAGTAATAAACATGATCATGATTTTTTTTTCAACAGCACTACATGAAAAGCTATTTAATCCCCATCTTTGATGTATAAACATAAACTCCCAAATATGTGATATTAAAACATGAATATAAGGAGTTACATCTGAAGAACAATAAAGTCCTTGTACCAAAATATTATTAGTTATGGGATCTACTACAGTTTTCTTTAAAAATAATTCATACCATGTTTTTACTTTTAGACGAAAATATTGTGAATCTGTTTCTTTTTCTCCTAATAAATCATATAATTCAGCAAATCCATTCCATAAACTTTTGATTAATAAAGCACGTTCTGAGTCAAATAGTTTAGTCAAGTTAAAGTTTCTAAGTACAAAAAGTTTGTCATCTCCCATTAAAGAAGTGTAATTCCAATTATTAGTATCACGAATTTTCCAAAATTCAAACCGGATTTTTAAATTTTCCATTTCCCTAATTATAATATTTCGAGTTATATTATTAAATAATCCTTCATTTTTGATTTCTTGTAATACTAACTCCCATAAACGATCAGTGATACGTAACATGATATGAAGTTTATCTGGTATATGATTTTCAAGTGGAATCATATTAAAAAGTGGTGGCAATTGATGATCCGGATATTCTGTTGGATTTTCATTTAAAGCATTCATTGATTTGCTAATTATCCATTCGATTTATTCATTTCCACATTGATTTTATTTATCATACATCAAGAACAAAAGTAATTTGAATTTGCAGCATTAAAATTCAAACAAATAGCGATAAATTTCCAATCAGAACTAAAAAATAATTCAAAGTTCCAAAGAATATTATTGATAATCATTCCAGTATAATTTAATTCTTGTAATTCTTTAATCAGATCATTTGCAGCAACTTTTAGAGTTGAATAATTTTCAGTTCCTGGAAATAAAACAGTTGTATAATGATAATTTGATTCAAAAAGTTTTGTTAGATCGTCTAATAGCATTACAGTAATCATCACATGCTTAACCTTTCTTCCCACATTCTTACCATCACCAGAGATTCGAAGATAAATAGTTGGTATTATAGGACTTAACTTTCCATTTTGAATATATGCTGGCACTATATATTTAAGAATTTTTTTAATGTTTCGATAAGCACCTTTTCCAACTGCACTAATAACTTGTTCAACAATTATAGGATCAGTTATATCAGGTTCTTCTACTAAAGGATCTTATATAATGATAGGATTTATATTAATAAGACTAATTGGTATTAATTCCTTCATATATATATTAATTTCTTGACGAGTTTACGAAATAGCATATTCTTGTGGTAATTTTGATTCTATAACTGCGAAATGATGATATGCATCACATGGAACATTCTCTATATCTTGCACATAAACTACTGATTGTAATCTTTGTTTTTTTTAAAAGTATCTTCTTCTCTAAATGATACATGAATATCTTTATTTTGTACAGTAAAATCCAAAGCTTTCAAAACAACACAATCTTTAGGATTATAAAAATTTTTAACTGACTTTTCAAAATGTATTTGTTCTCTTTTTGCAAGACCTTTAGTGCGTTTAACTTGGGTTAATTTACTTAATTCTTCATAAAGTTTTAATTCTCGTGATTTACCCTTACGATTCTTATCAATGCATTTTAATTGAAGTCCAAAAAGGTGAACTTCAGAAACAGCTGTTTTCTTATCTGATGTTATCCTCTAATAAAATAATATTTTTTATTATATGCTTTTTTAATTATAAAAGTATAATTTTTGCTGAAACTTACCCTATGTAATTCAACAGAAGCATCAAACAGAGATTGAACAGAAACAACTTGATATTGGAAATTACTTCCAAAACAAATTAAATGATGCGGAATTCCTTCTACATAATGTATGTAACATTGAATAGTACAATGGTTACTGGTCTGACTCCAAGTAGTTTGAATAATATAATTGTCAGGGATAGGAAAATAATTAGGCGTTTCGATATAACATAATTTCACAGCTGATAGGTAAATACCTTCTTGAATAATTGTATAATTAAACTTTTGGTTACCATAATATATTATTTCAAGTGAGATAGGGTAATTTTCCTTCTCATAAGGTCTTAGTTGGTTGGAATTTGCCATTAAAAATTATTGAATAATAAAAAGTACCAGCATATATTTTTTTTTGCGAATTCTTTGAAATATTTGATCTTTTTTTTTGGATAATGTAATGCAACTTTTATTGGTTTAATCACATTATGAGTTGTGTGACTAATAGTCAAAAAAGTATCTGATGGATCCCTGAGATGATAAACTGATTTGAGAATCAAAACTTGAGTATACATTTTGGCTCATATGATGAGTTTCCATAAATGGTTGTTGACTAATTACTACAAACTGTGAGCACTTAGTGAATTTAGTAATAATTCAAAAATGTCGATCGATCAGGTTTGGTAGCATAGCGGACTTTCATTGTGATTGGTCAATTTTGCAGATCACTTTTTATTATTGCTGAAATTCTATTGGCTGATAAATCATGTGATTTAACATTAATCAAAAGAAAAAAGTAGAAAAATAATTAATCAAAACATTTAATATGATATTTAACCCTAATAAAAAAAAAAGATATTTAATAAAGATAATTTTATAAAATTGAATTTTTTTTTTATTATTTATTTATAAAATAAAACCATTATTTTATGTTTTTATCACTTATACATGAATAATAATTTCTAAATTATACATTCGTTTAGAGTTCTGAATCAGGAAATCAGGTCAGGTCAATCTGACTTGACCTGAAAAATCCAGGTTAGGTAGACAAATTTTTAGGTCAACATTAGGTCAGGTCAAGCTTATGATCCGACCTGATAAAATTTAGGTCAATCAATCAAATTAAATATTTAAAAAAAATTTTTTTGTCTAAATTCTTTTTAAAACATCTTTAATTTTATTTAATATACTTTCTTTTTATATTCTAATAAAGTTGTTTGAATAATTACTTTGTAATTTATTATAATCAAAAAGTTAAATTTTAAATTATAAACATTTTTGCAATTACATTATTCAATAATTTAATTTTAATTTTTTTTTATCTGTTTAAATTAATTCAAAGAGAAATTTGAGCAATTTAGTCAAAGAAAATCGACTTTTATCACATATTTAATGTTGCTCAGCAGGTTCGAAAATATATGCATATAAATTTATATTATTATTAGATTAATAGTTATAAAGTTATGAATGTTTTTCGTGATTGTATTATCTCACAAAATATTTTTATTTTAATCTATACAGTGAATTCAAAGAGCAATTTAAGTATTTTGGTCAAAGGAAATCAACTTTGGTCGATAAGTGAAGTTGTTCAACGGATTCAAAAATATATACATACAAAATCTTATTATGGTTGAATTAATAGTTGTAAAGTTATGCACGTTTTTCGTAATTAAATTATCTTATAGATTTTTTTGTTTTTATTTTTTATCCGTACAGTGATTTCAAAGAGCAATTTAAGTATTTTGGTCAAAGGAAATTAACTTTGATCGCATAAATAAAGTTGTTCAGTGAGTTCAAAAATATGTATATATAAAATTTTATTATTATTGGATTAATGGTTATAAAGTTATGAACGTTTTTGTAATTATATTAGCAGTCACCAGATTTGCAGATTTATTGCAATTTGTAATTTTAAATTCTGCAGTTAAAATAATTATATTAGTATCTTTTTTTTTTGAAAAATAATCAAAAGTAAAAATGTATCAATATTTTTTTATATTTTTTTAAAAAAATATTAAACAAAATTAATAATTGTTTAGTTTTCTTTTTTAGACAGGTCAGGTCAGGTCAAATGTATATTTAATTCAAGTCAATTACCCGATCTGACTCAACCTGTTCAGAGCTCTAAACAATACAATAAATTGATCTTTTCATTTTTTTGCTATCTACTGAATGTGTCATTTGCAAGTTTATGTAAGATAAATAAAATATTGCAATCTGCCTATTTTAGATTCGACCTTTTAACCTATAACTAAGTTTTTTTTTGAGGAATTTAGAAAGTTTAATGAAGCAATTATGGGGATTCTTAATTCCTAAATACTATAATTATAGCTTTAAAAATTTCTATATAATAGTTATCTAACGAGCTTATAGGAATTATAAGAAAAGATCTGAATCTTAGGCAAAACAAGTTTGGAAGGTATTAAGAAATGATAAGACTTCTAACAGATAAAAATATTTAGGTAATATTTCTTATGATGAGGCTTATTATTATATTAATAAAAAACTCATAAATAAGTAATCATTTTAACATATTATATAATCATGTCCTTTATTTTCCTATAACTTAGAAACTTTATCCTAAAATTTTACTATGACTTTGTATATTTGTTTTAAATATTTATTACTAATATTAATGATTAAAAATTAAAGGAGAAGCTATTATTAATACAAATTATTTATGTAAAAGATATTTACCAGCTATTTTTGAATCAGCAAAAAATGTATTAATGAATGAATTAACTAATCAAAGAATTTTTATAATTATGGATAAAATAACAGATAGTTGTAAAAGAAGTATACTTAATATATTATTTAGTTATTATAATAATACTAAATTAGTAATATTATTTTTTTTAGAAGCTATAAATCATATAACAATTATACAAGCTTTTGTTAATACTATTCATTCCTATAATATTCCTTTTACCAATTTAATATTTTTTATTAATATATCATATATGAAATAAGCATTTAATATATTTTATTTCCTTTAATATCAAACTTATTTCATAACACATCTTTTACTTATATTTATAACTTTATTAATAAAACTTAGGTGGATTTTGAACATTTTAAATTATTAGATATTGTAGTAAAATAGCTTAAAACTTTATTTGTATACTCAACAATAAGAAAAAAAAGATAGAGAGAACATTTAATTCAAAATCTATTCATTTAAATACAAATAAAATTTTATTTAATAAAAAAAACAAAGAAAACACATAAGATTTATCTGCTAATTTAACTTTTTTACTCATTAAAACTAAGTAAAATTCCTGGTTTAAATTTATAACTTAGATGAAAAAATATTATCAACATTTTATTACATTTTTTATTGAAGAATCTGCAGAAAAAATTCTAATGTTATTAACAAAAAATAAATATTAAATTTTTAATTATTTTATATTTATTTAAATATCAAAATTAAAGTTTTTAATTTATAGATTAATGTTAAATCTTGAATTTTTTAAAATAAAAAATCTGGCTATTACATTTTTTGTTGTTTCAAGAATTATATAAACAAAAGCTTTTTTTACAAAATGGAATAAATAATCTATATTTAGTATAAAAATAACACAATTATTATTTTATAATCATCAAAATTATGAATATCTTACTTTAAATTTTTCTGAAGCTTTTAAAATAATATTAAAAAAATTTGAAAAGCATATAAATTTACATTTTGTATTACTATTATTTAATGTTATTCAATATTTTAATTCTCAATTTATTTAATCATTTTAAAATAGATAAATTTTTGTTAGTTATAACTTAATTCCAGAAATTTCAAAATCCTTCTAATTTTATTATAACTGAATGGACAATTTATTGTAGTTTATCAAAAATTTTTGAAGATAATGATTTAAATTTAAATCAATATTGGTAAGAATAACAAAGAATTCTTTCAAATTTATCAAAAGTATCAGTAGGGCAAATATGGGGTTTCTGAGACAGATTTCAAAAGATATCCAAAAAAAGCTTCCTGACTGCCCGCGAACCCATTTTAGCTATATGAATCAATTATCAAATTCAAACTTCTAGTGCATTTTGACTCAATTCTAGATGATGT